TAAAAAAAAAAAGTAAAAGTATCATTTAGATATCTTTTGAAGATAAGGGTCCAATTTGGCATCGGTCACATGAGGGACCACATAAAGATATTAAGCTTGGCTGTTTCTCAAATGTTTGATGCATAGAATTTTGGCCAAAGCCCCTATTTGCACCCTCCATTTATTTCTTTTTCACAGTCAACACCTTCTAGAATTTTTCCTCTCTATTCACACCTTTCACTTTTCAAAACCCGTAAAAAACCCAACATTTTAACGCGTTATCACAGTACCGTTACAAAATGTACTACGTGGCACTCAAAAATTGACGTGGCTATTATGTGCCATTAGTAATCCAACATGGATGCTTTTTTGATGATGTGGCTTATTTAAATAAAAAAATTTAAAACAGGAGCTCTGGGTTCCCTGTGAGGAACCCAGAGTCGGGTTCCTCATGGGTTCCTCCGGAGGAACCCAACTCGAACCCGTTGGGTTCCTTGTGAGGAACCCGATCTGGGTTCTTCACGACGAGGAACCCAGAGTCGGGTTCCTTCGGAGGAAGCTCAAACCCGCTGGGTTCCTCATGGGTTCCTCCGGAGGAACCCAGCTCGAACCCGCTGGGTTCCTTGTGAGGAACCCGATCTGGGTTCCTCGTCGAACCCAGAGCTGGGTTCCTCGTTGAACCCAGAGTTGGGTTCCTTGTGAGGAACCCGATCTGGGTTCCTCGCCGAACCCAAAGCTGGGTTCCTTGTGAGGAACCTGATCTGGGTTCCTCACGACGAGGAACCCAGAGTTGGGTTCCTCCGGAGGAACCGAGCTCTGGGTTCTCCTGTTCTAAAATATATTTTTTTTTTTTGGTGGGGATGTGGCATCCACGTGTGCAAAAAAGAAGCCACATCATCAAAAAGCAAATCCACATCTGAACTTAACGAATAAAGAAACGCCGCATGTGCCACATCAATTTCTGGGTGCCACATAATGCATTTTTTAACAGTGCCATGACGGTCCGTTAAAATGTTGGGTTTTTCACGGGTTTTTCATGGGTTTTGAAAAGTGGAAGGTGTGAATAGGGAAGAAAATTTCTGGAAGGTGTTGACCGTGAAAAAGAAATAAATGGAGGGTGCAAATAGGGGCTTTTGGCCTAGAATTTTTTCCTAAGCAGAAATCTCTTCAGAAGCCACACGTTTTTGCTATTTATAGAATATAAAAGGAAAAATAGAAAGAAAAATATATAAAGTACAAAAATAGAAAATCATGAGAATTTTTGAATATTAAAAGTGTTAAGACATCTAATTATAATTATATAATAAATAAGTAATATTGAGGATCTATACTATATATCTTAATATTAAAACACCCTTTTTTTATTTTTTTCATAAATATATAGTAATAATAATATAATTATTAATTAAAAATAAGGACATAGTATTTGCATTAATTCAATACAAGAATAATTTAAATGGACAGTGACTAGTATATATTCTTATTTAATATACTACACAACACATTCACTAAAAATTATTATTTTTTAGTTTAAAATTAAAAATAAACAAATTTAAAAATAAAATCACACATACATGATACAATAATGATTGAATCAATTGTATTTATATTATATTTTAATAGTTAAACCATGATGAATGTTAATATACTACACAACATACTCACTAAAAAATTATTACTTTTTAGTCTAAAATTAAAAATAAACAAATTTAAAAATACAATCATGAATACATGATGCAAGAATGACTGAATTGGTTATATTTATATTATATTTTAATAATTAAACCATGAATGTTAAGCAATGTGTTGAATTAAATGTTTACTAATTATTTTTTAATTTAAATAAAAAATTAGCATGTAAGATAAAAAAAATTAGCTTCTTTTTAATGAAATTATTAGTTTAAACTTTTTTCTAGGCAATTTAATTGTTCAACTCAAATATAAAATTTTGTCTTTAATTTTTAGCCTTATGTGATGTCACATGCTAAATTTATATTTAAATTATCTTTATTTTAACTAATACGAAAATTGTATCTTTATTTTACAATAATCAAAGGTGATTAACCTGTCTCTTATACACAACTAGACGTGAATAAGAGACAGTCTATATATTTTACAATCGTTAAAAATTAAAACAAAAAAAATAAAATTTAACTTTATAATTTTTATATAAATTAATGATAAAAAAATATAATAAATATATTATTAACCCTTATCATTATTATTTAAAATTTCTAGTCCTTATTCTGGTAAAAAAGTATCCTTTGACCAACGTGCACATTTTAAACATTCTTTTATATATATTAAAAGAATAAAATGAAGTAACATAATTTTTTATCTTTTATGTTAAGTAAATTCACAAAAAACAAAAAGCATATATAATATAGAGAAGAGATTTATTTATGTATAAATTTTATGTATTTTATTTATATAAAATCTTAATTATTTATCTCTTTACTCTTAATAGTTGAGATTTATTATAATTTTTTAAATTAAAAAATAATTATTTTTAATAAATATGAATAAATCTCAATTATTGTATGTAAGTAAATCTCTACTCTATAATATATATTCATCTAAAAAGTTATAATAAATCTCAATTATTGAAAGTAAAAAAATGAATTATCAAGATTTTATATAAATGTGGTATGTAAAATTTATGTGTAAGTAGATCTCATATATATATATATATACACACACATATATATTTAAAGTATTTTACAAGTCATCTTCCCTATGTTTTTTATGACATATTTAAAAACTCATCTTCTAATTAATATTTTAAAAAACTAACTATTGGATTAAAAATTTTATTCATATAAATCATGCATATCAATTTTTAGATTATTCTAATAGACATTCATTAATTTCACAAAATGTAACACTATTAAACGTATAGTAATAAATGAAGTTTCTTTAATTAAAGAGTTATAAGTGTTACATAGATATGAAATTGGCATGCTTGAATTACGTGAATAAAACTTTCAATCCAATAATTAATCTAATGGTTAGTTTTTGAAAATATTAATTATAAAGTAGATTTTTGACAAGTTCTCTAAAAAATTTTTAGGAAGACACCTTTTAATCCATCAATTGAGTTTTTAAAATATTAATTATAAGGTAGGTTTTTAGACAAATTCTCTAAAAAAAAAAAATGGGGAGATGACCTACCCTACACTATTATATATGTGTGTGTGTGAGGGGAGATCTATTTACGTACGCAAGTCTTACACATTATTCTTACATAAAACCTTAATCATTTATCTCCTCATTTTCAATGACTAAGATCTCTTCACTTTCATTGATTAAGTTTTATTATCACTTTTTAGATGAAAAATATAGTTATTTTTAATAAATGTAAATAAATCAAAACAATTGAAAGTGAAAAAATAAATGATAAAGATTTTCTATAAATATGGTGCGTAAAACTTTTGTGTCAATGAATACCTACTCTATATATAAAGACTTACTTACACACAAATTTTACACATCATACTTACACAAAGTTTCAACCATTTATCTCCCCATTTTCAATGGTTGAGATTTATCATGACTCTTTGTATAAGTGTGGTGTGTAAAATTGATAATAAATTTGTTTATCATATTTATTAAAAATAATTATGATAAATCTTATACACCATAGTTACAAAGAGTTGTGATAAATTTTAATAATTAAAAATAAAAAGATAAATAGTTAAGAGTTTATGTAAATGTGGTGTTAAAATTTATATATAAGTAGATCCCTATTTATATATATAAAGTGTTTTATAATCCAAATTGATTTAGACCGTAAAATATTAACCATTTGATAGAATTGAACCCTCATCAAAAGTTTCTATTTTGTGGTTCATTCCAGTCTGATATGTAAACAAGATTTTATATATATATATATGCTCAAATATTAGATGAGTTATTCTACTTATTATAAATTGATTTTAAATTAGATAATCATATTATGTTTGACCCACAAATTTTCACATTTTTATAATATTTTCCATAATGACAGTATAATCTTCCTTTAAGTTTCTCACCATTTTGGGTATCTTAAAACTAATGCCTTTTTGGGATACACTTCTATACGAGTCTGATACATTAAAGTTTTGTTTAATATAGGTATGGTTTTTAGTTTTTTATTTTAATTTTTATAAATTTTGTAACTTTAAATAAAAAAACTCATTTATTTTCTAGTATTTTTACAATATATTATTATTA